CATGTTGGGAGAACCCCGAATTTGCTTGAAAAGTTCCGATGGTAGCATGACGTTTAAGGGCTCTGTCTAAAATGTTATCTTTAAATCCTTGGATTATTAAAATAATATACCAATTCTGTTTTGATTTTATACATAGCCATTTTCATAGATTTATTCCAAATGAAATTTTTAACTGTTCACTTTCAGAGTCAGATTTTTTAGTGAATTTATTTTTCACGTTCTTGTTTCTAGTTATTAGCTGCTACTTTTGTGTTGAAATGTACACAACTTGGGTTTTCAACTTGAAGAACCTGACTTTCAGACCTTCTAAACCATGATATCCAGTTTTGATCCATTCATAGCTCCTCAGAAATAGGAGGAGAGACAGAAATGCTGTTTGAAAGGTGTTCAAAGCAGGGGTTGTATCGTGGAATTTCATTCCAATATGACTACCTGTAAATGAGTGCAAATTTCTGGTGTAAATTAGAAATGGGGTCAGTGGTTATATTTTCAGCTTTGATGAGATGTAACTGACACACAACATTGTGTAAGCTTAGGTGTCTAACACGTTCATTTGGTGCTTCCCCATTGCACACTGATTACCGCCACAGTGTTAGCTAATGCCTGCATCCCGTCCCCTCCCGTCCCCTCCCATCCCAGTTATTTCTTTTTTGTGGCCAACAGTTAAGTTCTATTTTGGTAGCAACTTCCAAGTATATACTACAACATTATTAACTATGATCACTGTACTCCACGTTATATCCCCAGAACTTGCTCACCTTACAGCTGGAAGCTGGTGCCCTGTGACCGACATCTCCCCATTTCCCTCGCCCCCTTGCCCCTGACCAACACCATTCTCTCCTCTGTTCCTGTGAGCCGAGCTTTGTAAGATTCTACATGCAGGTAGTTTCTTATAGTACGTGTCTGTCTCCATCTGCCTTCTTTCCCTCAGCAGAATGCCCTCCAGGTCCCCTTCATGTTGTCACAAATGGCAGGGTTTCCTTCTGTCTTGTGGCTAAGAAATAGTGCATTGTATGCATGTCCCACATTTTTGATCTCCGCACATTCATCTGTTGCTGGACACGTAGGTGGATCCCTGCCTTGGCTTTGCGACACGGATGCTGCAGCAAACATGGGGTGTCAGTTTGAGACCCTGTTTCATTTGTGGCGGATTATTAAGGCAAGACGTCCGCAAGTGTCCCATGTGGTAGTTCCGCGAGGAGAGGGCACTTTTTCTTTTCTAGGGAACCGCATATATTTAGGGCTTTGCAGATGTTTGTTTTTCAGTGTATTTGTAATTCAGTGTGTTTCTGAAGTAACTTCAGAAATGGTAGTAAATATATATACACAATATTAATAAAGTAAACTTTTCTTGTCAATGCTTATTTCCATGTAGTAATTTTTTTTTGGTTTGAGAAGATGTTTACTTCAGTGAAATCCCATCAAATATTATCTCATAGAAAGGGTTCAAAACAGCCACCTCTCCTTAATTTTCATACAGTAAAAACATAGAGAAAAATACTGAGCCTTAAAATGTCTCATACAGTCCTGGCATTGGGATGTAATTCATATTCTAATAAAATAACGTGCATTTATTTGAAAAATTTGAACAGCACAGACATAACAGATGGAAGACTCTTGCTTGTGCTGTTTCTCCCGCTCACCTCCCTGGCTCCCACCCAAGACACAGTGCCGGAAGCCAGGAGAACGGCCCTGCAGGCCTTCCGTTCTCTGCGTGTGTTACCTTCCCCTTGCTGGTGACGTACAGTGAGGTATCATTAGCATTTCCATAAAGATTGGAAATAAGCATAACAGAAGTACATTGACTTTAAACATTTCACGTCGGTGGCAGATGGACTTTATACCAATCGATACTTCTTTTCCTTATTTTATCAAAAGGAATAACTTTGAAAAGAAGTTCACTTTTCAAGATAGAGACATATTTAATTTTTTTCCTGAGATGTTCAAGAAATGACAGTGTGTTTCAAAGTCTTTATCTATTCTCTTCCTCCTGCCTTCCTTTCTTTTGACATCACAATATTTCTAACAGTTTATCTTGTACTTGCTCCTTTCATTATTAATCAGGGTTATAAATCTCTTTCAAATACAGATCAGGAAGGAGGTTATAAGACATTCATTGTAGTGAATGTTTTTGTAACATTATTTCTGGCTTAAGTTTATTTCTCTTTTTGAAGTCTCCCATGTACACTCAGAATATGACCAACCCTCTCTTTTGCTTAAAGTTTTTGAAGTCTTCGCTTTGTGCATGGCAGCAACCTTCTTTCTTTCTTTTTTAATATATTATATTGATTATGCCATTACAGTTCTATTCCCCCCTTCACTCCCCTCCACCCTGCACACCCCCTCCCACCCACATTCCCCCCTTTAGTTTATGACCACGTGTCTCAAGTTCTTTAGATTCTATATTTCCCATACTATTCTTGCCCTCCCCCCTATCTATTTTCTACCTACCATCTATGCTACTTATTTTCTGTACCTTCTCCCCCTTCTCCTTCTCCCACTCCCCTGTTGCTAACCCTCCATGTGATCTTCATTTCTATGGTTCTGCTCCTGATCTAGCTGTCCTCTTAGTTTGCTTTTGTTTTAGGTGTGGTTCTTAATAACTGTGAGTTTGCTGTCCTTTCACTGTTCATCTTTTTTATCTTCTTTTTCTTAGATAAGTCCCTTTAACATTTTATATAGTAAGGGCTTGGTGATGATGAACTCCTTGAATTTGATCTTATCTGAGAAGCACTTTCTCTGTCCTTCCATTCTAAATGAAAGCTTTGCTGGAAAGAGCAATCTTGGATGTAGGTCTTTGGATTTCATGACTTGGAATATTTCTTTCCAGCCCCTTCTTGCCTCTAAGGTCTCTTTTGAGAAATCTGCTGACAGTCTGATGGCAAGTTCTTTGTAGGTGACTGTCCCCTTATCTCTTGCTGCTTCTAGAATTCTCTCCTTCATTTTAATCTTGGCTAATGTAATTATGATGTGCCTTGGTGTGTTCCTTCTTGGGTCCAACTTCTTTGGGACTCTCTGAGCTTCCTGGATTTCCTGGAAGTCTATTTCCTTTGCCAGATTGGGGAAGTTCTCCTTTATTATTTGTTCAAATAAGTTTTCCACTCGTGGCTGTTCCTCTTCCCCTTTTGGTACCCCTATAATTCGGATGTTGGAATGTTTAAAGATGTCCTGGAGGTTCCTAAGCCTCTCCTCATTTTTTCGAATTCTTGTTTCTTCATATTTTTCTGTTTGGTCATTTTTTTTCCTTCTTCTGGTCCACTCCTTTGCTTTAAGTCCCAGTTTCCTTTCCATTACTGTTGGTTTCCTGTGCATTTCCCTTCATTTCAATTAGTTTAGTCTTCATATGTTCCTCTAATTTGTGACTAAAATCAACCAGTTCTGTGAGCATCCTGATCACCAGTGTTTTGAACTGTGTGTCTGAAAGTTTGGCTATTTCTTCATCGCTTAGATTTATCGGCTCTGGGGCTCTGAGTTGTTCTTGAGCCATGTTTTGATCTGTTTGTGCCTGTTACGTATGAGGAGTGGAGCCTTAGTTGTTCACCAGGGTGGGGCCACCCAGGTCGCTGGATTGTGATGCTGTATGTGGGGCCGGGGTCAGAGAGGGACAATGGCGGTTTCCTCTTCCATTTCCCACCGCTGGGGCCTGTGTGGTCCATTTTACTGCTTGCTCTTTCACTGGTTTATCTGTACGCGGATGTGTGACCACAGTCAGCCCTCAGTGGGTCAATCACTGTGCGCCCTCAGTGGGTCCGCCCGCTACTCCACACCTGGGATCCGCCCACGGCTGCTGGTGCACCTGGGTCGCACGGGTTGGTCTGTTGGATCTTTCCTGCCTGACCCTGCTCTGCTGCTGGCTCTGCCCCTCTTACCGGTTTGGCTGAAGGGTTTGTTGTTGTCAGACTTCCATATAGTTCAATTTTCTGTGGTTTGGCTGCGTTTTTGTTGCTAAAACTTTGTTGTTTTTAAAGTTGGTTGTGTGAGAAGGCACAGTGCTTCCACCTACGCCTCCATCTTGGTGGAAGTCCCCAGCAACTTTCAACCTAGCTTGGTAGACCATCTCTGGCTTCAGCCTACTTTTAGAGGTGGGTCATGTCTTCCCTTTTCCTACTCTGTGCCTTTCCTCCTCCATCTGGAGTATGTTCTGCTTGCTTAGGACACCTTGCCTGTCCTCTGTGTCTTCCTGTCACCATGTGAATCCTTGTTCTCTCTCTCCAGCTAGAATTTTCCTTGCTTACTTTCCCACCCATCCGCTTCCCACTGCCTCTTCAGAAACTGGCTCAACGTCCTCTTAGTGAGGCAGCCCTTGTCGACTTGCTTGTGCTGCCTTTCCGAGCATAATTACTGAGCCCGCTTCCATCACATTATTAAATTCTATTTATTAATGACAAACTTTATTTCTAATAGTTTATGAGCAGTTTAGGAAAACCTCACTGGTCTGATTACTTCAGTCTGAATTCCAGCTTTGTCAGTTACTAGCTATATGTTTGGGGACAAATTACTTAAGTATTGTATGGCTTAGTTTTACCATCTGTAAAGTGCTGTTAACAATAATACCTTGCTTTCATATTGTTGAGAGAATTAGATGAGATAGTCTTCAGATATTCCCAGTGTTCATGCACTGAAAATAAATGTTACATACTTTTATGACTATTTTTCTAGTCCTTAGCTTAGTGTCTGTATGAAGGGACACTTAATAATGCTTATTACTTAAAGGGATTTTTTTAATCTAGACTTATGAATGAGTTTATCATTTTAGTTCATCATAATTTGTATGACTATTACTGTAAGAGTTTCTAATGTTATAAAAACAACTCTAGTTTTCATTAGCAGCTGGATTATTGTTCTTTTAAAAATTGTGTTGAAATCTTCCAGCTTTCTTAAGCCAAAATAAGTGACGGAGGAGCGAGGCAAGCACCCTCTGCCCCACCCTACCTTTGCAGGGCCTGGCCGATGCACTTGGAGTTGTCTGACAGGCCCCTCCCCCGTCTCCATCTCCGCAGGCCTTGTGCAGGGTCACGCGCCACTCCCCGACTGCCTTCCAGAACGTGATCGAGAAGGTGGGCCTGAACGCTGTCATGGACGCCCTGGCCTCCGCCATCTGCCGAGTTCAGCAGTACCTGTTGACCCTGTTCACCGCCATGTTGTCCTGTGGAATTCATCTTCAGAGACTGATCCAAGAAAAGGTTTGACCTGGCTTTCACCTGTTCCTCTATGTTAAAAATGGTGATTTTCCTGCGCATTCCACATGGACAAGTAATATCAGCTCGGCGGAATTGACTTTTTGTTTTGGGAGACCTTTTTGAACTCTGCCAAACCTATGTACGCAGGCCCTCCCTCCGCAGATGTCGGAGAGCCTCCGTGTGATTGAAGTAGATGCAGTGAGTGGCTCTGCCTGCTTGTGCGAGTTAGTGATGGGAAGTTGGACAATGCGTCCTTCCCACCTGCTCCGCCTGTGCTGCTGTGGCCTCTGCCGCCTCCTCAGCCCCCACCTCTTCCCCCACATCCTTCGCCTGCCTCAGGGGCAGGGGTCCCTTTATATGCTGACTCATTTTGATTCCTTCCTTGTTGAATAGTCAGTCAATGCCAGTCACCTTAAGAGCTCCCTTCCTCCTGGTTTTAGCCCCCTTTTAAAGTGTCCCCCCTGGTCCTCACAGAAGAGAGGTCCCTGGGCCGGACCACTGGCGCCTCCTGGGAGTGGACTGGAGACTCAGCCCCTCAGGCCCCGCCCAAGTCCTGCTGACTCAGAACGATCATTTTAATGAGGTCTCTAGGCGACTGGCGTTCCCTTGAGGGTTTGAGAAGCCCTGTCCGGGAGCATTAGCGCTCAGGTGTCAGCAGGGGAAAACGTGGACCGTGTTATATGTACATTTGGAAAGTAGTGAGTTAAGGAGATGATTTCAGTTGTGCAGACTTTCCCACTTTTGCATACGCTCGTGCGTATTATGGATCTTCGCGCGGGAGTGTAGTGTGTGGTTTTTTAGACTTAGTGGGCCCATTGTTCTCTTCGGAGGGGGGCTGCCTGCCAAATTGGAGTTTTGTAGACCATGGAAGGTGACACACCCAAATGTAGAGCCACAGAAGTAGGTGTTTGCTGTGCTCCTCTGTGTCGGATGCAACACGTCGGATGCTGGCTTTTATGCAAAGTTGAAATTTCAGGAATTACTATTAGTAATGGTCAGGTTTGCACAGTGAGCTTGGTCTGTGAAAGCCTGAACGGAGAGTGAGCCTCTTCCTGACTTTAATTAGTCTGACTTACACTCTGCTAAGAAACCTGAGCCTCAGAGGAATGTATTTCCCAACAGTCAGTATATCTAATTTTCGTTGCTAAATTTTCCAAGTCATTACTTTTGTTGTCATTGTATTAGAAAAAGTGCCACTTGAGTGGTTTTACTGCGTGAATTATGATAATAGTGGCTGACAGTTTAGCAGTTGGTTTTTTTCCTTCACCTGAGCACAGGTGTAAATTTAGTTTCAAATATGATCTCTCACAAAGCAAGTACAATAAGAACTTATGGTAGTTGGGCTTCCCCGAGGTGGGAGGTGTGTTGGGAGACCTGGGAAGAGGGAGGTGGCCAGCGAAGCCGACATGGGCAGCAGGGACAAAGGGACGTGGCGGGCGGCTGGAGGCGGGAAGAAGACCAGGGTCTCGGAGGGTCGTGGTAATGGCCTTCCTTGGAGTGTTGGCTGAGTGGTCATTGTTTTATTTTTATGTGAAGACGAGTGCTTGTATTTGTATACGTGGGTGGTATTCAGGGGCTTGCTCACCTATAATTGCTAAGTGGAGGTGGTCTCGTGTTTGGTTGTAGACAGGCTGGAAAGAGTGGAGGAGGGAGGGACCCAGGAGCAAACACCGGGTTTGCTGCCCCCCCGTGGGCAGGGGGAAAGAACCGCCCACGTTCTTCTTTTGGGGGAACTGATGCCTGTGTGGCCTGGTATTTTTAAACTGAAGTTCCCCAAAGAGGCCCAGGTCGTTCCTTTTAAATAAATGAGATTGCTGTTTACTGCAGAAAATGTAGATGAACCTGAAGAAGAAAACAAAATCCACTGTGATCTCATTACCAGAAATAGTTGCTGTTAAGGTGTTGGTTTATTTATTTTTTAGTCTTCTTTTCTGTGTGTCCATTTCATGCACACATTTATAAAATTAAGATCAAAATGTGTATGTCACTCAGTGTTCCCCAAGAACATTTATAAAGTATTATATAGTTCATTTTGGGGGTGTTGTCATGATTTAACTCTTCTCCCACCGTTGACCTGTTTGCCTCCTGTCTTCGGGTTGGTGTCGCCCCGACGAGTAAATGCCGTCACACATGCCTTCGTGTTGGCCTCTGCCAGGGTCACACAGGTGCCATCGACACTTACAGGGCTCTGTGTGAACAGTTCCAGCTTGTTCTATGAAAGGTGGGTGATGAGGGTACCATTTACTTGTACCTTCACCAGCAGTTATTAAAGACACATGCTGTACTTATTATAAAGCTTAGAGTTTGGGATTCTTGAGCCGCATACTGGATGTTTCCATGGGAATTTGCAGTTAATAATGAGTCTCCATTTGAAGTGTGTAACTGTAGCCATATTTTCATCCAAAACTAGATTGACTAGTGGTGGTATTATTCCCTTCTGATCGGGTTCTTGTTCTCGAGAGGTTGTTGATGTGTGGAAGGACTTTGTCGTGCGTACAGACACACACATATTCTCTCACTTTCTCCTGCACACACGTGCTACCAGGATCTTGTCACAGAGATGGGATCAATTGTTTGGTGATCCATGTTTCCTGTCCAGGGATGTGTTCATAACTTCTATGAATTTTGTGTTTGAATAAGCTAAAGCCAAGTAATGAGAATGAGGGTGACAGTCTAGTGTGTTGTCCTAAACCTGTAGTGACATAACACATGTGTGTTCACATGCAAATCCATATATGTAAATATGTACGTGTGTGTATGAATGCACATAGGGAGAAGGGGAAAGCATATCTTAATTAGACAATTGCTGTGCAAATAAATTACTGCCGTGGCATAAAAAATAACTTAAATTAAAAACTCAGTACCAGCCCTGGCTGGTGTAACTCAGTGGACTGATCACGGGCCTGTGAAGGTTGCCGGTTCCATTCCCAGTCAGGGCACATGACTGGGTTGCGCGCCAGGTCCCCACTTGGGGGTGTGCGAGGGGCAACCTTAACGTGGTATCTCTTGCACATTGATGTTTTTCTCCATCTCTTTCAACCTGCCTTCTCCTCTCTCTAAAAATAAATAAAATCTTTAACAAAAAGATTTAAAAAAACAACTCAGTGCCAGATTTTGCTGTTAGAAAATGGAAAGCATATAAAACTCCTGGATCCTCATTGTGCTGCGTTTCAGTGAGCTGAGCTGGAAAAAACCTCACATCAACTTAAGTTACGTGGATTCAAACATCTGTCTCAGTCATTTTGGTCCGGGGGTATGTGACCTTGCATGTCCTTCGCAGCCAGAGAATCAGGCATGCGTCCTTTGGACTCCATGTGCTTTGGGGGACACTTCACGATGTAAACATTGCCTTGGAAAGCCATAGCCTATTTCACAGGGGAGTTCGTTCAGGTCCACTAGTGAGACAGCTTCCTTCTGAGTGCTATTGAATAGAGATGCTGCCTTTTCACGTTTTTGCTTATTAATTTTGACAGTAGCTGCTATTTTTATTTGAGCAGTCTAGTTTGACTGCAGCCGTGTTTTGAGGATTAGCACGTTGACCGTGGAAGACAGCAGTGACTAATAATAAACCAGAAGCAGCAGACCTCTGTTGTTTGTGAGCATTATAGATGATCCCCATGTAATTTTGTGGCTGCAGAATTTTGAAAAATTTGAAAGCGAAGTCTGTTAAGGTTTATTTTTCAACCATCTCTAGGCATACTGACTCAAAGGTTGCTAATCCAGCTTTTAAAATATGCTAATTAACTTATGCATATTAATCAGATTGTTAGTGCTTATTATGATATTTTTAGTTTGTTCATAGTGATAAGAATGTTCTCTTACAGACAGTTTTTACTTAGATACTTGGCTAACCTTCTTTAAGGAAAGTGCAATCCAAAAACAATTTTGGATTTAATCAGTACAATTTTCATTTCCGTCAATATTAAACAGGAAAAGGGTGTCGGTGTAGTTACCTGCGTGCCGTCTCACTGTTTTTCCTTCGGGCTGTGACCAGTTGATGGCCAGGTTGTACTCACTGATTTTCTCCTGTGACAGGTGATTGAAGCAGATCAGTTTTATCGCTTCAGATTTACAAGAGATAATTGTGAAGTTCTCCACCTTGCTGTTACTTTTATTCATCTCGTAATTTCCTCTTTATGATATACACTAGAGGGATGCTTCACCTTTTGCTTAATTAGGATGAAGATCACATTTTCTTTGTGGTGGGTGCTTCAGATGTTTGGGCTCATTCCTAACATTGTGACTCTTCCATCATAGCATCTTTATGTTAGACAGGTACGTTCATTCTGAAGTCACTGCCAAGTACGTTTCCGTGTTGGACATAAATGCACCCTGCTGTGGTCTGGCTTACACCTAAACAGCTTCTGCTCTTTTCCTACACATGTAATATTTAGGTATGTTGAGCCGAGTGGCAAGATGAACTTCAATCAAAGCTGAATACCTAGTGGGTTGCATACTGAAGTGACCCGAGGTCATTTTTGGCTCTCTAAAGGTCATTTTGCTTCTTCATTGGCGACGCTAAATCTTCGCTGGCAGTCTGTAATCTTCCCTCCTCAAGTGTCAGAAGATGAATACTGCTCTAAAAGTGTGGTGCATGTTGGTTACGATTAAATATGGAGCCCTGGGCAATGAGTTGTGGAGAGTCAGTCAGTAGTGCTCCCTCAATTTTTCTGAAGTGACTTTATGAGAATTTATTTAGGGCACAAAATGCTTTTAAGCTTAGGTCCAAAACAGTGGTCTGTGATACACTGCATCTTCTTCGGGGACTCGGAGTGGTTGTGTTACAAACACATCTCGTGCCCAATTTCATTTATTTTCAATATTTGCCATACTTTGTCTGGTTTGTTTCACTCAAAGTCCTAAGCATTATTATTTTAATTTGCAAGATTATAATGCCTTAATCTCAAGGGCTGCAGCAACTGCTGAGAATGTCTTACAGGTGAATAACGTAGTCGTATTTGCTGTTGTGGAAGCTCACTGTGGCTGCATCTTGTAGAATAGATGGAAGAAAGCCCAGATAGATAAAGCCTGTCACAGTCATTCAGAAGGGACAGGATGGTGCCTTGCAATAGGGCAACGATGGTGGGGTGGTGTTGTTGCAGAGACTGGGAATCTATTGGGCATGGGGTGGAGGAGAAAGATGCTTTGATTTTTAACTTCAGTCATTGGTTTGATGATCCTTGGAGTAGATCACCTTTTGGGCAGGTGATAAGTTTAATGGCGGTTGCATAATACAAAGGATTGTAATATACCATTCACTCCCGTTCACCAAAGGCTGACATTTTACCATATTTGTTCTATAGCTTCTCTGTCTCTTGCCCTGCGTGCTCTTCCCATTCAGGAAGAGGTTGCAGACCTGAGGCTCCTCTGCTTCCTCACTGAATACTCTCTAAACACAGTACTACTGTACTAAATAACAGTAGTACTTGTGAATGCTTACTTTTCTGTGTTGTATTATACCTTTAACTAAAGAACATTGTAGGTGTATAGGTTTTTTTTTTTGTGCCCTGTATTGAGGGTTGTATGTAGACCAGAGATGTGATCTCTACCTGTGCAGGTCCACTCGGAGGTTCGTGCCTACATGGGGTTGTGCCTGCCAGTTCTAGTTATCGCCACTCTTCCGGCTGTTTGGCTGCGTGGTTAGGAGGCAGGCTTTGTTGTCCGACTGGCTGGGTTTGAACGCAACTTTCTGAATGTGGGCAAATTGCTTAACCTTTCAAGATTCATTTGCCTTTTTAAAATAGGGAGAATATTGTTAACTTTTTATGGCTGGTTTTCAGGTTTAAATGAGATAATGCATATTAAAATTTTAGTATAGCTTCTGGCACAAATTAAGAATGCAGAAACGGTAGCTGATATTATTTTATTTCCTGCTGTCTGTTTGGTAATTATCTGTTAACCTTGAGAGTTGACTTCCCTATTTATTTTTATGTTTTCTGAAACAAATTTTAATGTCTTCCACAGGATTTTGTGTCTACAGTCATCCGTTTACTTGACAGCCCGTCAGCTTCCATTAGAGCAAAAGCCTTCCTGGTTCTTTTATACATTTTGATTCATAACCACGAGATGCTGCTGCTCAGCTGCCAAGCAAGGTATGATTCCTCTGATTTCATCAATGACTGCAGTTTGGTGCCTCTTCTTAGTATCGTTAGTAGGATTTTTGGCCTCTGCATAGCTGGTATTGAATTTTTGCTAGGTTTCCCCAAGGGTTTAACATTTTATTATAGCCACAGCTCAGAAACCCTGAAGACCAGAAAGCGGACCCGTGAAACCAAAGCATGGCGCTGGGAAGTCCTTGGAGTCACCCCAGTCTCAGGGATTAACACCCAAAGCAGGGTGTTAACATTGGTTCCAGTTTACATCTTTGGGAGGTGTCTCGGACCAGTGGTTTGGTCCAATTCCCATTGCTGTGGGGTCTGGAATGAGTGGTTGAGAACCCAAGGGGTAGCCTAGTGAGAGGACGGCGCGGAGCAGGGTCAGGAGTTACAGGATGGGCAGGTCTCTCACTGCCTCTGGTGTTGTCTCCTGGACGCTGTCCTGCGTGCATCCCGGGCTCCCACCACGCTCTGCTGCTCCCCAAACGGCATCTTCTGAAGTGTCCAGTCCATCTGCTTGCTCTGCTCAATCCCAGAGGAACCTTCAAAATATGGTGTAATGTCTATTTCTCAGTCCAGCTTTTTACTTACCATAGGATATCGAGGAGTGCCTGGAATTGTTGTGATGGATCTAGATTAGGATTGGCAAACTCTTTCTTGTAAACAGCCAGTGGGTAAATATTATAGGGTTTCTGAATCAAGAGGCAAAATTGTGAATATTATATAGGTACTTATATAACGAGGGAAAGTGTGTTCTTATACATTTTTTATTGACAAAAATATACTGATAATTGAGTACATTTTTAAAATTTGTAATATGGGTCTAATGAGAAGAATAGAATTTTTGGAGGGGGGAGAGAGAACATTTTGCTCAATTAGGGGTCAAAGTCAAAATGACAAAAATCTAGTGATATAAACTACTCCCAGACTCAGGCATCCAGGACAGACTGTGCAAAGATGATTTCTCTTTGTTCCTTGTGCTCTGCTGCCCACGCGTTACATTTGTATGCATATAAAATGCAAGGGCGAATATAAATGTATGGAAAAGAGAGGCAGAGAGATGTTCAAAGTCTCTGTGATGAGTTTATGTGGGCAAATGTTCTCCCTTCCTTACCCAGCTTTCGAAACTCCACGAGCTCACCACCTTCTGAGCCCACCACAGTGCTGCCGTCTGCCTGCAAACGGAAGCCTCACATCAAGAGCCCATGATAACCTTTGCTGCATTATGTAGATATTTTTTCCTGCTTACCATCATCACCATCGGCCTTTTACGGATTAAGTTTCAGCACCTATTTTTTTTTTAATGATGTCCACGCTCAAATCTTTCTAACGTGACAGGAAGTGAAATGGAGCTGTCAGAATCAGATAAAAATGATATGATTGCCCCCAAACATCCACCTATTTCTTCAAATGGCTTCATACTCATATCGAATATGACAGGTGATAAAATAGGGTCCTGAGTGTCTCTAGAAATGATAACCCTTTGAGGGGATGAATGGTCTTTTATGCTCATGGGACAGGTTTGCTGGGAGCCTGAACTGTCAGTCCTCCTGATGGGTCAAGTTTTCCTAGAGGTTCTCCCCTCCCCATAGCGTTGCTATTAATATGGTAATTGGTGAAATTAAAAAAAAAAATCTGCTTTGATCTTAAAAGAAGGATCTTTTAAAAAGAAATATTTACTCTGTGTAATTGGTTAACTGTGTGGGAAAAATTATCTTCTCAGCTTACACCATACAAAAGTCAATTCCAGATGGATTAAAGAATTATATACCCAAAAGAGACTATAAACAGCTGGAAGAAAATATGTTTAAATATGGATAAGGACAGTTTTTCTGAGTGGAAAAGCAATGCAAAAAACCATAAAAGGAAACACTGATAGTTTGGCTATATATAGGTTAAACACTTTATATTTCCCGAATATCATAAATGAAAAATTCCATGCCAACAAAATTTATAAATTGTTGCGTCATGTATAATAATCTGTGTACTGTAAAAAGATTTCTAAAGATGTAAACATATTCTCAATAATCAAAGAAATGAAAATTATAATAACCAAATACTATTTCTACCCATCATAATACCAAATTAATAAGAGAAACTACTGCTATCTTATATGCAAAGTACAGAGACAGGGACTGCTTTTAACCAGTTGGTGGGGCTACCTTTTTGAGGGCATTTAAACGTGTGTATCAGGAATCTCTACGATTCAGTAGTTCTGCTGTTATAGTTAAACTTGAATTACAGGCTTTACATTGCTGGGGATGTCAGTGCCTGCAAGCGCTGAACCTGCCTTTCCTTGGTTGCTGAGCTTTCATGGACTTCACCTCCTGTTAGGACTGGGGGGACCCAGAGGTTCTTCAGAGGGTCCCTTGGGTTCTATTTTGCCCCGTCTTGGGCAGTTTGGCAGCAACCCGGCTTTCTCTTAGTGATCGCGATCACTCATCCTTAACCAGTAGAGTGACCCTCTTCATTCCCTGAAGCTGAATTGTTGTGTCCTCTGGTGGGGACTCTCCTTCCTGGTCGCCCATCTGGCAGGGCTCAGGGGCGTGGAGACGGGTTGTCAGGTGGAATCGTGGCAGGTGGTCACTGCCACTTCCAACCCTGGATTTCCAGATCTGTGTTTTAATGATGGATGAGACAAAAGCAGATGTTTTGTTTGTTGACTCGAAGCATATGCTACAGTTGTGTAAGATAGAACCCCGTTTTTTTTATTGTGGTGTTTCCCAGTTGGCACTGTGACTGACTTTCTGGTAGGCCGTTCCTCTTGCGTTCAGGCCGGGTCCTTCCAGGTGATGGGGGATGCTTGCTGGGATGAGCGGATTTCATGGGCCCGAGCACATTACCGTCCTTCTTTTGCTGTAGAGAGTTCCTTGATTGGCCGTAGTGTTATATTGATTATCATACATTAAATATGGTATTTTTCAAGCCTAAACTTTAGTGGCATTAACAGAAGCTTATGGGCAGGAAAAGCAAATTTATACTCAGGATGTGTAACTATTGCAGTGAGGAGAGTCGGCTGCTCCTTCCATAAACCAGCTGTTGCTGGATGACTGGCTGGTCTCCCCAGGGAATGGGGCCGATGCGAGGCTCAGCCTTGGTTTCTCCCATTGGCCAGAGTGGCAGTGCCAAGATGAGGACCATCCATTTTGCTGTCCAGCATGGCCTCTGTCACTGCCACCTTGGCTACTTTGTCCCTGAGCCTGCTGAGCAAGCCCTGGGGTGGCTGGAAAAAGAGTCTTGAGTGACATTTGCAGAACGTGTCGTCTTGTCTACCTGATTGTCGAGAGCCTTTTCCAGAGCGGACATCCACATGGCACGGAAATGTTTTTATGCTTTCTGCCCGTTGTGAAACGTCCGCCCACCATGCCCCTTTCACTGAGCTTCTGGTCAGGTTTCAAATCGTGCCCTAAGTCCCTGGCTATCTCACTAAGCAGCCAGTCAGTAGCCATGAATCAGCGTGCATCTGTCTTTCTGGCCATATCTCAGTTTAAACACAGGACACAACAGAATTTGTTGTTTGAAATTCTGCTAACTGGAAGGCACTTTTCAGTGGTACTTCCGATTCAGCTTGTGATGCTGCTGCGGGTCTACTTTAAATTGATGCCAGCATATTGCAGTGAACCATTCATGAACCAGGCCCAGCGCTTTTCCTCTTCACCCAGCTGGTCATACGTAATTCTTAACCAGGATCAAGAGAGGAGGGCCCTGCAGGGGGTATGTGTTGAAGGAATCGGACCCACCTACTCATGCAGTTCACTAGTATATCCTGTCCCTGTTCATGCTCAGTCTCCTATATTGATCCATCTACTTACTGATGGGTTATTGCTGTGCATGCCCAACCTAGTGGCTTGTGTGTCAGCTTAGTGCTACAGTGAAAGACTGTAACTCGGATCACGTGATCGTTTGATGTCAGTAGTCGTGTGTTCATTCTCTACCAGGAGCTGTTTCTCAAAAGAATAGTGACCTGCAGATGAGAATGTGGCTTTGCTCTAAAACCCCTTTGTTTGAGATGCTGTAACAAAATACCAAAGACTGGGTAGCTTATATGCAACAGGCATTTACGTCTTCTAGTTCTGGAGGCTGGAAGACTGAGATCCGAGTGCCAGTGTGGTGGGGTGGGAGCCCTCTGTGGGTGGCAGGCTTTTCCTTATATGCTCACAGGGAGGAGAGGACTCGGGCGGGAGCTCTGGGTAATTTCATTCATGAGGACTCTGTCTACCCTCGTGATGTAATCACCTCCCAACACCATCAGATTGGGTGTTAGGATTCCAACATGTGAGTTTGGGGATGGACACAGACCTTCAGGCCAAAGCGACTCCAAAGATTTGATTCACTTACTGGTGCTTCCCTGGCCCCCTCCCACCCCCCATTTTCCACAGACACTCAGAGTCTGTAGATCCGCTGAGTCAAAAGGCCCGAGTGGCAGAGCAACTCACCCCACAGACTGGAGTTGGAGCAGAGTATGTGTTCACTACAGCGCCATTCACTGCAGGTTGACAGTGCTGCAGAAAGGGTCAGAAGGACACTTTCAGAGGTGGCGTGTATTGCCTTCTAGGTTCACAAAGGGCCACTTACTTGGTCACAGTCAGTGGAAGATGCAGTAACTTGTCTTTGACTCGAGGGGCTGTCCCAGAATGCTTTAGACCACTGAGCCCCGGAAACTACCGAGGACCGGTAGGCCCACTGATTCTTATGGGTCTCTTGTGTCTTAGGAAGCCACCTGAAGTACGCGCTGCTAACTGTTCCTCAGGTCCAATCAGCTTACTTTCAGCAAAGTGGTGTGCACATCCGGCATTTGCTGGAACCTCAGGATGATCCAGTTCTTTGCAGGCTGTTTTATGGCCAAGAGCAGGATTGTTGGCTTCGATCAAAGGCGAGACGGTGAATGTTCACCCTTTATCCTGATGAGTAAAAGCAAACACGCGCTGGTGGTTTTTTTCCGGTTGATACAGAGAACTGGCAGCTACGATGCCAGGGCCGTGTTGATTTGCTCCCGT